AGTCCCTTGGACTGCAAGGAGATCCAACCAGTCCATCCTAAAGGAGATCAGTCCTGGGTGTTCATTGGAAGGACTGATGTTGAAGCTGAAACTCCAATACTTTGGCCACCTGATGCAAAGAGTTGACTTATTGGAAAAGACCCTGATGCTGGGAGGGATTGGGGGCAGGAGAAGAAGGGAATGACAGAGGATGAGATGGCTGGATGGCATCACCAACTCGATGGACATGAGTTTGAGTAAACTCCGGGAGTTGGTGAGGGACAGGGAGGCCTAGCATGCTGTAGTTCATGGGGTCGCAAAGAGTTGGACACGACTGAGCAACTGAACTGAACTGACTGAACTGAATGATAGAATGATAGAATCTAATATCAACCTACTAATGATAGTTACAATCATTCAGGATCTCAGGAAACCAATGGAGAAGATGCAAGAAATGTTTGCCAAAGACCTACAGGAACTAAAGAACAAACAGACAGAGATGAATAATACACTAGAAGGAATCAGTAGCAGAATACCTGAGGCAGAAGAATGGATAAACCACCTGGAGGACAGAATGATGGAAATCACTCCCACCAAACTACATATAAGAAAAAGAGTAAACCCAGGCTGGGCTGAGAGCCTGTGCGCCCACCCTTCCTCTGCTGTGTGATGCTGCAGAGGGGAGCTGCAAGGGGAGTGGTGCTGAACTTGGCTGATGGCTAGGAGATTATATTTTTGGGGTTGGGGGCTCCTGGAGGTGGAACTGGCAGGAGTTGGTATGTCATTAGGAACTGAAGGCTGGGAACCTTGACCCTAGAAGGCCAGAAGGGTGGTGATGTGTCTAACAACAATAGGGCACACAGCCTTAGGGGTGTAGAATATACCAGGTATTAGGGGAACTTGATTTTCTGTGGGAGGCCCTTACCATGACCTGGCTGGAACGAGAAAGTGGTGGGATCTAGAACCAGTCGGTTTTTGAACAGACTTCCTTTGAGCGACCTTGTGTTCCACAAAGAGACATGTTGAGTGCTTGGGCCATGAACTCCTTTCTCTCTGGTGGTAGTGGTTTAGTGTCTAAGTTGTGTCAAACTCTTGCAACCCCATGGACTGTAGCCTGCCAGGCTCCTCTGTCCATGGGATTCTCCAGGCAAGAATACTGGAGTGGGTTGCCATTTCCTTCTCCAGGGGATCTTCCCGATCCAGGAATTGAACCTGGGTCTCCTGCATTGTAGTCAGATTCTTTACCAACTGAACTACAGGGGAAGCCCTTTCTGTCTGGCCACCTTTATGCACAGCCTATGAGATCGTTGACCCACCTGAAGCTGCTTCAAGAGTCCATGTCCAGAGAACCAGCTGCTCTTGGTGAATCACTTCTGATGGGTCACCCTCTATGATTCGCTTGCTTGGCCTGGTGCAAATGGGAGTTTAAGTCCCTGCTACCTAATTAGCAAAGAAACGTCTGTTTTATGTCTGTGTTACTTGCAGGGCCTTTCCATTACTTAACCAAGTCAATAAAGAAACCAGTGTTTCCCAATTAAGATTTTTGCTTTTTTCTGGTTCTAAATTCGTTAACTTCTGTAACCCGGCTCCCATGCTCTCATACCTTGGCGGGGACGAACCACCCAACAGGCTGACTCATGGCTGCTGCCCTCGTTTCCACTCTGGTTTCTATGGAGATAGACATCAGCTGGCTCAAAACAAGGTGAGGGCTCTGAGACACCTCCTGATTCCAAGGCATTTACAAACCCTATTTGTCCACCATCTGTTGCCATGGAAACAGATGCAGAAAAGGCCAACCAGTACTCTACAATAAATTTTTTTCTCTTATCTAATTTTTTTTTTTTTTTACAAATACCAAAGCAGTGCATGGCTTTTTCCTGTTATCACAGATTTTTGGAATAGTACATCTTATGTGTTTTGACCTATTTGTTAAATCCTTATACTTAAGTGCTTTCTGCATTATTTAAAAATTTTTATTTAATAAATTAACTTGTTCTACTTACCTAATCAAGTCACTTTCAATTGGCATTCAAAGATGAAACAGTGTCCTAGGCCTGGGAGTGTGACTGCAGGAAAAACAGTACATGAGCTGCCATCCCTTCTAACTTTAGAATTCAAGACATCGGTTCTCCAGGTAGTAACTGAGGCCCTTGCTTGTGTCACTGTCATTTAGTTGTAAGGGCTCAGGATCTGTTTGACTCAAATTGAGCCAGTTTGTGTCTAAATTCTGTGTGCCACATAAGTGATATAAAATATTAAATATGTCTGTGATGTAAATCATAGAAATAGAAGCAGTTTTCTGTTAGTAGTGAGCAAAATGAGCAATGCACCATATTCAGTTTTGTAGAATAAGAACTACGAAATGGACAGATACTCTTGAAGCTGTGGTTAGGTGTGGCATATGCAACTTATGATCTACTGCTAAGAGTAGACAGACGTTAAGTCACATGTTTGAAAGGGAAAAACAGAGGGAGCTTACTTGAAATAGAAAAAAGCAGAAGCAAAGTGAAAGTTAACATTGCTATGTGGTATGTGGGAGACACGCTACAGGGATTTAGTTATGCAGCCCTTGTCGCCTCTGATTGTGGCTCCTCTTGGGCTTTTATTTTGATATTACCTTTCACGATGGATTCATCTTCTTTTAGCTGCTGTTTATTCGTACTGCCTTTTATTTTCCACCGGTGAACTGTAAGTGCCCCTGGGGCAGGGACAGTGTCAGCTTTGTTCTCCAGCGCACCCTCGGCACCTCGCACGGCACGTGGCACGTACTGGCTGTTAGAGAGGGATGCCGACAGGGTGGATGCCCACAGGAGCTCTGACAGTTCCTCTCTGCCCAGAATCCCCCAGGAGAGTGGACATAGGCACGTTCACCTGATCCAGAGGCACACACCTGTGTAAGCCACCACCCTCCGCATCTCAGGCCCCCGCCTTGAGTTCTCACCCTGTTGTTGACACTTAAAGGGAATCATACAGTGAAATGCACACTGAGTCTGAACCGTTGGCTCAGTCATATTTGTGACAGGTCCCGTTAGCCTTTGCTAATGGATAAAACCACCCTAAATCTTAATGGCTTAAGAAAAAGCAACAGTCTTTTCCTACCCATTCTATGGGCTGACTGGACTCCGTGCTGTGTCTGCATTTGGCTGGAGGTCAGGTGGGTGGGAAGGTCAAAGTGGTCTCACCCATAGGCTGGTGCAGGGCCAGCCCCCCTCCTCCAGTGAATGTGCTGGGCATCTTCACAGCACTGTCATTGCCAGGCTCTAAGAAGGTGAGGGCCGAAGCCACCGGGCCTCTTGCAAGGGAGTATGCCTGCTGGCCTTAGAGGGAGTTGGTGTCTGCAACAGTCCACAGTAGTCAGATTCATCTCAGAACAAATGCTTTTAAGATAGCTTTCTTACACAAACAAAATAACTTTGTGGTTTCACACGCATGCACAGGACTTGACAATAAACAAGAAAGAAGTTCCTTCCATTTAGAGTTTTAGCGATCTAAACTGACATCTGTTACCACCTAAGCCTTACCAAATGGGCAAAGCCAACTGCCTTTTTCAGTCTGAGTCCCCTACTGCCCTCCCCTTACCAGGGTTTACCCTCAGGTCTTAACTTCGGAAACCTAGTTTTTATTTCTACCAGGCCGACAGCAGTGTTGTCAGGGGTGGCAGAATGTCTGTGCCAAGTCTGAGCAGAGGCCTGGCGTGTGTAGTCTGTGCTCAGTCAATGGTGTCGAATAGTGGGCTGTGTTCTCCAGCTTCATCCGAGTCGATCAAACTTTGGGAATCTTACAAAAACCGACTTAGTGAAAGTTCATCTAGTTAACAGGTGTTTATCAGGCACTGCTTTTATGCCAGAAACTAGTCTTGAGTCCTTACTGATTTTTCTGTCTACTTGTTCTACCAGTTTCTAAGAGAGGAATATAGAAATCTCTGATTATAATTGTATTCTTGCCTATTTTCCCTTTCTGTTCTGTCAGTTTTGCTTCATCTGTTTTGAAGTTCTTTTGTTTGAATCATATGTATTTGTAATTGTTGTATCGTCGCAGTGTTGACCCCTTTATCATTAGGAAACGTCGTCTTTGTCTCCAATAATGTTCCTGGTATGTTTTCTCTGGCTGATAATAATATAGCAATTCCAGCTCTGTTGTGCTTACCATTCACATAGTATATCTTTTTCCATTCTTTTACTTTCAGCCTATCTGTGTCTTGGAATTTAAGTGCTTCTCTTGGGACTTCCCTGGCGGTCCAGTGGTTAAGACTCCAAGCTTCCAATGGAGGGCATGCAGGTTCAATTCCCGGTCAGGAATCTGAGATCCCACATGCCGTGTGGCACGGCCAAAAAAAAATTAAAGTGCTTCTCTTGTAGACAAGCTATAGCTAGATTCTGCTTTTATATCCAGTTTGACAGTCTCTGCCTTTGACTGGAGTGTTTGATTAGAGCATTTCTATTTTTAAGCATTTTTATTAAGGTTTACATACCATGATCTTCACCTGTACAATTAAGGTACAATTTAGTGATTTTTAGTAAATTTACAGTTGCACTGCTAGCCCCACAATTCAACTTTAGAACATTCCCAGCAACACCGAAAAGTCCCTTAGGCTCTTTTGTAGTCCTGTCCGACTCTTTCGACCCCATGAACTGCAGCCTGCCACGCTCCTCTGTCCATGGGATTCTCCAGGCAAGAATACTGGAGTGGTTGCCATTTCCTTCTCCAGGGGATCTTCCCAACCCAGGGATTTAACCCGGGGCCCCTACGTTTCAGGCAGATTCTTTGCCAACTGAGCTATGAGGGAAGCCCCCTTTTGTAGTCAATCACTGTCCATTGTCTCCCTCCCTGCAAGCCCCAAGAAACTACTAGTCTGCTTTCCAGCTCTGTTGATTAGCCTTTTCTGGACATTTCATATGGTATGTTGTCTTTTGCATGTGGTGGGTTTCATTTCGTATGATTTTTTTGAGGTTTAACCATATAGAATAAATCAGTAGTTCATTTCTTTTTATTGCTGAATAATATTCCATTGTATGGATAGACCACCTTTTGTTTTTCCATTGATATACATTTGCATTATTTTCACCTTTCTGGCTATTATAAATAAGGTTGCAATGAACATTTGTAAGTCTCTGTTTGGTCATACATTGTCATTTCTCTTGGGCAGTTACCCAGGAGTGAAATTCCTAGGTTGTATGGCAGATTTTTGTTTAACTTTTAAAGGAAAGCATTAATTCTTCAGCACTCAGCCTTTTTTATTGTCCATCTCTCACATCCATACATAACAACTGGAAAAACCATAGCTTTGACTATACGGGCCTTTGAAGGCAAAGTAATGTCTCTGCTTTTTAATATGCTGTCTAGGTTTGTCATTGCTTTTCTTACAAGGAGCAAACGTCTTTTAATTTTATGACTGCACCATCCATAGTGATTTTGGAGCCCAAGAAAGTCTGTCACTGTTTCCATTGTTTCCCCATGTATGTGACTTGTAAATATATTCTCCCAAAGGGTGGCTTGTCGTTTCATTTTCTTAATGGCATCTTTTGAAGTTTCCAAGTTTTTTATTTTGATGAAGTCTGATTTACCTACCTTTTTTTTTTTTCTTTCATGGTTTGTGCTTTTGTTGTTGTATCTAAGAACTCTTTGCCCAACCCAATGTTTATCAACTTTGGGCACTACTGACATTTTGGGCCAGATAATTCTTTGTTGTGGGGACTATCCTGTGTGTTGTAGGATATTTAACAGCATCTCAGGCTCTTAGGTGCCAGAATTAGTCACCGCACTCCAAAGTAGTGACAATCAAAAATGTTTACAGACATTGCTAAATATCCCCAGCAGGCAAAATCACCTCCAGTTGAAAACTATTGGCTTAAACTAATATTGCAAAGATTTTCTCCCATGTTTCCCTAAGAGTTTCATAATTTTAGCTCTTACATTTAGATCTAGGACCATTTGTAGTTAATTTCTGTATATGATTTCAGGCAAAGATCTAAATTTATCTTTTTACATATGAATATCCAGTTATCCCAGTACAGTTTGTTGAAAAGACTATGCTTTGACCCATTGAATTACTTTGTCAAATTGAGACTCTTTAAAAAAAAAATGGCCATAAATGTAAGCATTTATTTCTGGATTCTGATTTCTGTTCACTTGACCTACATGTCTATCTTTGTGCTAGTACCACATGATCTTAATTACTGTATTTAACTTTATAATAGGTTTTTAAATATGAGTCCTCCAACATTGTTCTTTTTCAAAATTATTTTGTTTAATATTTATTCATATTTAGTGTACTTATTGGCATGGTTGGGTTTAATTCTGCTAGTTGCTGTTTTCTATTTATGTGATCTCTTTGTTCCTATTTTTCCTCCCTTCCTTTGTTATAAACAAATAACATGTCTTACCCTATTTTGTATTGCACAAATATTGTTTAGTATACCATTTTAATTACTCTATTAGCTTTTTAGCTGTATTTTCCTTTTTCTTTCTGAGTTGGTTTGAGGGATTACAGTATACAGCTTACCACAATCTTCTTTGAGTTAATACTGATTTGTTTCTGGTAAAATAGAACTTTGCACCAGTACAGCTCTATTTCTGTTCCTCTTTTGTGCTCTTGTTGCCACATGTACTACCTCTATATTTATTATCAACCCTGTAATCTAAGTCTTTGCTTTAAATTGTCATAAATCTTTTAAAGAAATTCGGGGGAAAACGTCCATCTATGTATCTATCCATGTATTTAGCATTTTCAGTGCCCTTCATTCCTTCCTGTGAAGTTACCATCTGACACCATTTCTCTTTTGCCTGAAGCACTGCCTGTAGCATTTCTGGTAACTCAAGTCTATTAACTTCTCTCAGTTTTTAAAATCTGGAATTGTCTTTATTTCACCTTCATTTTTGAAGGACAGTTACACTGGGTATGGTTTTTCTCTCTTTGAATATGTCGTTGTCTCCTGGCTTCCTTTCTTTCTGATGAGAAGCCAGCTATCAATGGTATCTTTTATCATTCTTTCCCTGAATGTGCTTGTTTTGCCTTTGCTTGTATTTAAGATTCTTTTCTTCAATTTTGGCTCTGTTTGGGTGTAGTTTTCTTTGTATTTATGCTTTTTAGGATTCATTGTGTCTATGAAAAGTGAAAGTGAAAATCTCTCAGTCATGTTCAACTGTTTGCCACCCCCATGAACTATACCCCACCACCAGGCTCCTCTGTCCTTGGAATTCTCCAGGTAAGAATATTGGAGTGGGTAGCCATTCCCTTCTCCAGGGGATCTTCCTGACCCAGGGATCGAACCTGGGTCTCCTGTACTGCAGGCAGTCTTTACCATCTGAGCTACAGGGAAGTCCTCTTGGATCTATAAGTTACAGTTTTTCCCCAGATTTGGAAAGTGTTCAACCATTATCTATTCAGGTATTTTTTCTGCCCCTTTCTTTCTCTCCTTTCTTCCTAGAAATCCAATTACACATGCATGAGAATACTTGATATCATCTGACAGATCTCTGAGGCTTTATTTTCTTCAGTGTTTTTTCTCTGTTCTTTAAGCCAGATACTTTGTGTTGCTCCATTTTCCAACTGACTGATTCTTCTGCCAGTTCATATCTACTGTTGTGCCCATCCACTGAATTTTTCATTTCAGTTTTTATACTTCTCAGCTCCAGAACTCCCATCTGGCTCCTTTTTTACAGGGTTCACTTCCCTGTTTTTCACTCATTTTTAGTATATTTTTCTTCAACTCTTGAGCTCGTTTTCCTTTAATTCTGTAGACATTTTCTTTTTTTTTTTTTTTTTTTTGACATTTTCATAATAGCTATTTTGAAGTCTTCATCTGCTAAATCCAACATCTGGGCCCACTCAAAGTTAGTTCTTGGCTACTCAATATTTCCTGAGTTCAGGTCACATTTTTTCTGTTTCTTGGGCCACGTCTGATAATGCCTTTGGTTGAAAACCAGGCATTGCAGATAATACGTTGCAATGATTCTGGATTATATGTTGCTTTCTTGAGTGTTGTTGAGTAATCATTTACCTTGCCTGGTCTCTGTGTAACCTCTCCCCCTGTGGCATGCAGCCCGTGGTATTTCTGCTTATTACCTGCCCTGCCATATGGGTCTCCCTGCATAGTTTCACTGTCAATGAGAGATTTGGTTAAGATTATGTTTACACACCTCAAGTGACCATCTTCTGTGACTTGAGTTACCAGTAGGTTGAAGAATGCATTTAAAAGTCTAGAAAATTTCCAAGTTCCCCCAAGCTTTTAACTTTCTCTGAGCTTCCTGGGTTTTCTGCACACATCTGTAGTTAACAAGTCCATCGGGGATGCTTGGAGGTTTTATCATCTCAGGGCTTCTGTGGTTCCCTTGCTCCTGGGAATCCCCCTTCAGCTTCTGGCTGGTTTCTTACTTGCCCTCCACCAAGTCCATACCTTCAGTTAATAAAGCTGTGAGTTTCACTGCCTGAAATCGACAGGAACTCTCCCAGCAAAGCACCATGCTTGCCCCAAGTACAATAGCACTTCCCCAGTGAGCAGTTGTGATCTGCCACTGGTCATTTTCCAGTGTCCTGAAATGATTGTTTGTAATAAATTTGTCACATTTTGTGCTTGATGTGTGTAGAGGGGAATTGCCTGACCTACTTATTTTCCTTTACCAGAAGCTGTCCAGGTGTGGCAGTAAGCGAAATAGATACCCTATCGGGAGAAAGCAGACCTTAAACAAATAAGGAAATAGAAATGTAATATTTCCTTACCTTTTCAAACGGTGGTAAGTGCCTCAAAAAACAATAAAAGTAAGAAGGACTTGAGGGAGAAGCCCCAAGGTGGACACTGGGAACAGCGAATGTCAAGGTAGAAACCTCCTGGGGACCCACAAGACATGGGGAGGAAATAGGATACAGAGTCAGAGGATGGGGTCAGATCACCTGGAGCCTTGAGAAGGACATTAGCTGTTTTTAAAAAAATTTTTATTTTTAACTGGAAGATAACTGCTTTACGTTGTGTTGGTTTCTGCCTACAACAACGTGAATCAGCCTTAAGTATATATATGTATTCCCCTCCCCCTTAAGCCTCCTTCCCACTCTCTCCATCCCACCCCTCTAGGTCATCACAGAGCATCGAGCCCCCTGTGCTATATAGCAGATTCCCATCATTAGCTATTTGTTTTACACATGGTAATTAGCTCTTTTTCTGAGAGAAGAGGGAAGTTGTTGGAAGATATTAAGTGAAAAGTGACATTAACACGCATCTTGTGTTAAAGGGTCACTCAGAGTGCCCATTGACTGCATCACAATGAGAACTACAGTTGCCAACTGAATACAATAAGTCATTAACAGGGCTTGGCATCTGTGTCCTTGAACTGAGCTTTGAGGCATTGGGACCAGGTAGCCTGTGGACCTTGTGAATTTCTTGGCTGAAGAGGCATCTGGGCTTAACCGAACATCATTCATCTTAGAATCAAGGACCCTCATTGAGGTCCAGACTCTGCCATGTACGAGATTTAGTTTCTGTAAATGAGCCAACTGTCTAGTGTCTTAACACGTGTGATGCATGGTCAATAAGTGGCTCTAAATCGAGTGTATTAAGTATTAGTCACTCAGTCATGTCCGATTCTTTGTGGACCCCATGGACTGTAGCCAGCCAGGCTCCTCTGTCCATGGAATTCTCCAGGCAGGAATACTGGAGCGGGTTGCCATTCTTTTTCTCCAGGGATCTTCCTGATCCAGAGATCAAACCTGGGTCTCCTGCATTGCAGGCAGATTCTTTACTGTCTGAGCCACCGGCAAAGCCCAAAAATCAATTGTGGACATTCACAAAAACTGAGATTCTTAAATTGCCCACTTGTCCAGGCACCTGTACTCTTTCAGTGACTCTGGAATCTGTGGTTTTTCCTTCTCCCTCATACTTTGTCATCATCCTCCAGACGCTATGGCTCATGGTTCTAAAAGTCACTTTCATCTTCCCCTTCATTTCCTTTTTCTGCTCCACATCCTGGCTTAAGCCTCAGTCTCCTCCCTTCCCAGCCTGTCCTGCATGTGGCCACCAGACCATCTTCCCAGAGAAGGGCCTGGATCACGTAGGGCCATGATCCCTTCATTCTTAAATTTCGGAGCATTTTCAACTTTCCAGAAAGTCCAGAAACTAACCTGACCACTGTGGTTCCATCTCTTCCCTGCTCTCCTCTCCCACCTTCCCCAGAGTTAACCACCATCTGGAACCTGGTGTGTAACATTCCACAGGCATTCTGTGCTTCTATAATATCTTTATGTCTCCCTTAACTGTATACACTATTGTTTTGTGGTTTTCGATTTTACATAAATGGCATAATGCTCTATGAATCATTTACCAACTTGCTTTTTCTTCATTCAACATTACATGTTAGAGATTTGTTCATACCAAGATGTACCACCCTAGTTTATCCTCTTAACCCCTGCACAAGGGTCTTGTCTTTATTACCAATAGATACTGCCAAGTTCCTCTCGAAGGTGGCTGAACCCATTTTTGCTTTCACTTGATTCCTTCTTAAAAACATTCCCATGCCCCCTATCACCTAAGAAAAAAGTTGCAATGGTGGTATTCAAAGGTCCACTCCATTGAGACCCCAGTCGAGGTTTATATTTTCTTTCTCATTACTAGCCTTGTTTCTTCATCTATAAAGATAATTACTACTGAATTGTTGTGAGATCAGTGAATTAGTCTGTGGCACACAATGGACACACAAAAATGGATAGTTTCCATTTCTTCCTTTGTGTCTATATAATATCCACTTGCTCCTTCTGGAGCTATGCGAAATAAGCTGGGGGTGGGCAAGGGGACAAGTTAAAGCCAAGGCTACGACACTCTCTTGATCTACTGATACCTCACTGTCATAGCCGCTGGGGCCTTGAATCACGTTCTTGTCTCCTTTTGTGGGTGCACTTGATCATATGTGCTGCCCATGTCCTCATTTCAAGTCCAAGGTAAGAGGAGCCAAGCACAGAAGCCTCTCTGTAGCCCCAGCAGACCCTGCAAATGACAAATAACTTGCTGAATGGGAAAACAGCAAGTGTTTGAATCTCAATACAAAGAAAGTGGTTCTGTAATCAGCCTGCCAGGGTTTGAGCCCAGCCCCTCTTCTCACCAGCCATGTGGCCGAGGGCAAGTTGGTTCAGCACCCGAGGCCTCGGTGTTCTCACCTGTAAAGTACAGCTATAAATATCCCTTTCATCAGGTGGGTGGCTGTGAGGATCGAATGAAATGATCCCTGTGAACTGCTGGCACAGACTCAGAGCTTGTTAGCCAGTTTTGACATTTCAGTATCGTCTGCTAGAGTGGAAGTCCCTGGTGCGGTGCCTGGCCAGAGCTGGAGCTGGTCGGTGGGTGGCCAGGATGGAGCTGGGGGTGGACAGTGGGGAAGAAGGGGTTGGACACCCTCAATGGGTGAAAGGAGAGGAGGGAGGCTATTCCCAGAGCAAACTTCTCGTAACAGCCAGCCTGTGAAAAATTTTCTTAACTCTTCCTAAATTTCCCTGTTTTTTCTAAAATAGCAAATTCAGATTCCTAATCAAACCCTCCCCCCCAAAAAAAACATCCTCCTTACCCAGGGAGCTTGAGAAATAATGACAAATCCTTGCTTTTCAAATCTCCTTCATCTAGTTCTTTGAGGACTTTGAAGTTCATCTAAACATTATCTCAGAGCTTGACATGGTTTATAGAATAAGAGCTTTTCCCTGTGACTTTGCTTGCTGGTGTACCTTCATTGTATCAGATACGTTCCTATATCTGGGGTGGTGGTTTCTGCTTATTAGCTAGCCCCTCCCTAGTCACTCAGGGTTGAGGAGGGACACACCCAGACTTGGGGTGTTTTGATTCCCTAAGTGCCAGGCCCACCCCCACATCTCTTGAGCACACTCAGTGACTCCTGTTTAGAAGGAACTCAGGACTTCCCTGGTGGTGCAGTGGATACGAAACCGCCTGCCAGTGCAGGGGACACGGGTTCGATCCCTGGTCTGGGAAGATTCTACGTGCCTCACAGGAGCAGCTAAGCCTGTGCGCCACAACTACTGAGCCTGTGCTCTAGAGCCCAGAGTCAGCAACTACTGAGCCCGGGTACCGCAACCGCTAAAGCCTGAGTGGCTGAAGCCTGTGCTCCGCTATAAGAGAAGCAACCACATCAGAAGTCCATGCGCCGCAACAAAGAGTACCCCCGCTCTTTGCAACTAGAGAAGGCCCTTGCAAAGCAACAAAGTCCCAGGATAGCCAAAAATTTTAATGGTTAATTCTTCTAAATTAAAGAAGAAACTCAGTTACCTGAGTCCTCTTGTCTGCCTTCAGCACAATGTCTAGACACTGCTGTGATGGTGGCTCCCTCCCTCTGTGCCACCAAATCTTTCTACTTTCTTTCACTTCCAGAGTTGTTGAACCTCCCAGTCTCCTCTGATTCTCTGTATTACATATTTTTGTAAGCTTGGCCTCTCTCAGGGCTTCTCCGATGGCTCAGCGGTAAAGTATCCACCTGCAATGCAGGAGACACAGAAAATGCGGGTTTGACTCCTAGGTTGGAAAGATTGTCCTGGAGAAGGAAATGGCAACCTACTCCAGTATTCTTGCCTGGAGAATCCCATGGACAGTGGAGCCTGGTGGGCTGCAGTCCGTGAGATTGCAAAGAATCGGACTCGACTATGCAACTAACACTTTCGTTTTCTTTTTCACTTTCTCTCAGAGCAACACTACTGTCATTTCCACGTGTCTTGTCATTTTCACGTAGACTTCAGGGAAGTTTAAGCAAGCACATTGGGCAGCTAAAGCCTTGGATTAGAAGAATCAAGGAAGCGAAGGATGTTACAGATTATCTGGTTCCTATAATGTGGTTAGTTAATGAACTGGGCTGGTTGTCAAAGGAGCTGTGATTGCATCCCAGGAATGTCATTCTGTGGATGGGAAGTTGCTGTTTAGAACAGCTCAGCCTCAAAACAAGACCTCCAGGGCTCAGAACCTGCTTGCATCCACAGTCCTGGCACACACATAAAAGAAAGCTGCAAAATTGGGAAAAAAAAAAAATCCATTCTGCTAGGGGAAATAGGTTGATTACACTGCCTACCTGGTCACCTTGGTCCACCCTTTCTCTCCTATGTGGAGTGTTTTTTCCTTATTTTTACAAAGAGCAAGATTTCCAATTCAGGGTTCTGAGAAGGTATCTCAAGTTTAAACTGCTGCTAGAAGTCCTATAATTATTTCAAGTGGAAAACACACTCGATACTTTCGCTTGTCATATGTAAAACCACTTGAATACATTCTGCGCTCTGCATTGTATCTGCAAGAATCTGAGTTTTCAAATGCATTTAGTGGTCAACCTTAGTTTTGCTTTCAGGCCAACTGCTTAGAATCTGGTTTGTCTGGAGTATTATGTATCTAAAGCCTTCAGTTAAGAATCTTGTAGTGTCATAAGATCACCTTGCCACTATGGGGAAGCTTCGTATTAGAGCATCTAAATTCATCTCAGCTCAAGTGCCTTTTTTATTGAGGCATTCTTAATTTCTTGACGTGATCAGTTATCCTTGGGCTCTCCCTTTAGTAATCTGATGCATTCTGCCCAGGTACATAAAGACCAGTAATTTTAGTAAAATTCCTCCCGACAATGGTATTTAAAACCCATCCTAATGAGGCATTTATTCTCCAAGAGTTCCTTATCCATCACCTGCTTACTTCACAGAGTAGATTGCAAAATATGCATCGTTTGGAATTCACAAGTACCCGGGGGGAAGCTGGCAGTGTGCTGTTTCTACACAAGTGAAACCCACTTAAATTGGGGGAAACTGGTGGAAAGTAGTCTCTCCTGTCCCAGAGAGAAGGCTGAAGCTGTAAGATCATCCCTGAGTGTCTCCTAGGTGTGCCTGTTTCAGAAAATTCTGACACATCCTCAGTGGTTTCCACCCACTTGGCCCCAGCGGCACAGGTGGACCTAGTGCCCTGCTATCAGCAGGCATCAGTTTTATGGGCTCTCTCTTTACGTTTCCCACCACATCTCGTGATTTCCTCTGCCTTCGCAAACCTCCCTCTGTATCTGGTTTCCCAAGTGTCGCTGGAAACAGACTCGTATTGAATTAAGCTCTTGCCTCAAAAGTATTGAAGTTAGAGGGCTTCCCTGGTGGCTCAGTGGTAAAGAATCTGCCTGCCAATGCAGGAGATGCGGGTTTGATCCCTGGATCGGGAAGATCCCCTGGAGAAGGAGATGGCAACCCCCTCCAGTATTCTTGCCTGGGAAATACCATGCACTGAGGAGCCTGGCAGGCTGTAGTCCCTGGGGTCGCAGAGAATACTCAGTGACTCAATAACAGCAACAACCGTGTTTAGTGGCACCTTCCAGCGCATTGAGTACAGCTCCTTTTCCTTCTGTTCTCGGAGTCTTGACGATGCCTCCATTTCCTTTTTGCTGTTATCAGTGTTTCTGAGAAAAACCATGACAGTGACTTGTTTATATCTACACAGTATATGGAAAACTTAAGAAATTTTCTTAATCAGTAAGTCCTGATTTTAAAGGGGCAGGATTTTAAATGATCTCATTTGCTGGAGGGAGAAGCTCAGGCACTGATAAGAATCAAGTCTAATCAGAGCCTCACCACTAGCCCTCTTAACCAGGAGCTGTCCATTTAATAATGACTTTCACATCCATTTTCTTACATTTCTGCATCTGACACTAATATGATATTCTTGAAAGCACCCAGTGTATTTGCCTATATGTTGGCAATAGAAAAACTGTGGCAGAAGAAGCGAAGTCTCCAGGTGGAAGCAGACTGGCTGAGGTGCCCTGGTTCTTTCTTGGGCCCCACACTTGCATATGACACTGTAACTTAAGTTAACTTCTATTACCATATATATTAGGGAGCCAATACAGAAACTATCCTGTGTTTTCCAAAGTTTATCAATTATCAATGAATTTAACTATGAAGTACTTTTAATTTTTTAAAAAAAAACATCAATTTGCTTTAATTTTTTTAAAAAATTGAATATCTCAGTGAATCTGTAACTGATTTGTTTTTTAATTATTTTTAAGAAGAATAATCGCTTTACAGAATTTTGCTATTTTCTGTCAGACATCAACAAGAAGTTAGTAAGTAAGGCTTTAACTTACGATTGAGAATATGTTTGTTAGTTTGTGTATTTGCAAGTGAATGTCTTACATATATACTTGTTGTCCAGAGTAGAGAAATACTTTTGCTAGTGTTAAGCTTAGCCATTGACCTTTTATTTTTCATTGAAATGGAATGTGGACATTTGTTTTGTTTCTTAAGGTCTCCTATTTCATCCTGGCAGGGAAGTGGTGTATCACCAATACTTCTGTGAAACTGTGATTCACATGCCCGTTGCCAGCTGGTGCCTCCACGGCTTCATTCCCTAGAAAAGAAATGAAATCCTACTCCACCGCCCAGCACCCTTAGCCATTCACTCTGACCACAGAGCCCAGTGCTGTCGTCCACAAACAGCAGTCATTTTCCTAAAATAGTCATATAATGTACATACTATTTGATCACCAAGATGCTGGTGTTTTAAGTAAAGCTAAACTCGAAGCCCAGGCAGCAGTAAAACCTTACCTGGCTGTCCCAGACCTGACCTCAGGTAGGGCCTCACATAGCATTACCTTTAAGGAACCCCGAGTGAAATTTCAGGATGGTTGGGTACACCACACTTGGCAGAGTTGCCAACTCAGGTGAACAGCAAAGGAAGGCAGTAGCCCTTGCGTGGAAAATGATCAGGACAAGGGGCTCAATGACCATGAACCTGGTGTTCCAGTTCAGTCAAACATGGGTTCTCCATCCGTGATGAGACAGGATGGATGGAAAGAGAGAGGACGAGATGGGGCAGGGGTGGGGTGGAGGGGTTTAGGGGGGGTGGAGGGGGGTTGTGGATCCAGCCCTTGGCCCTCCTCTCCCCTCTCTCTGCCCCGTTGTGCTCAATCTCCACTGGGCACTGAGGTCCAATCTGTGCCTCCCTGGAAGCAGGCTTCTCTGCAGGGACCCCGGTCTTGGAGTCAGAAAGTTCTGGGCGGAAGGGGGCGGCCCCGACCTTCGAGTCCAGACCTCCCCCTCCAGGCCAGGCTCTCCCTGTGGGCTAATCACTCCTCTCCAGCTCAGGTTCCACATCACACAAAGCAGGTGTCATGAAAGGAACCCCCACGGAGTTCCTGTGAGAGCTGAGGTGAAGTGCTGTGGCAACGCACAATGGCTTCCTCCGCACTCACATGTAAGCTGGAGCGGGTAGCGTTTCCTCAGCAGCACCCGCGGCGAGCGAGACAGCACGGAGGGCGAGGACATGCCCCGGGGTGGACTGGAACCTTCCTGAGTCTGCTGGTTCTGGTCTGCTCTGGGGGCCACCTAGGATAAGTCGAATCCCCTTTTCCTAAGACAGCCTCCCCCGCCCCGCCCCACCCCGGGGTGACAGGGTCTAGTGGTGGTAGGTGGCGCTGACTGACCGTGTGGTGGAGAGACCTGTGGAGACAGGGGTGCGCCCTGGAACAGCCTCCCTGTCCCAACCCCGCAAAGGCAGTCCTCACAGGAACTGGGGGCTTTGGTATCCTTTGGAAACTGACTCAGATAAATCACATTCACCAAAATGGCTAGGAATCAGCTTGGAAATAAGGATGGGTATTTACTTAGGTTTGCAGAGCAGAGCTACCTCTTCCTGTTGGCAAGTTTTAGAGGAAGCAAATTCCACATTGTTGAGTGGGTGAGGACTCAGGAGAAGGACTGGCTGGATGATGTCAGGGACCCTTGTCACCCAGGCATGCTGGCCTGGGGCAGCCCTCTGCCCTGAGCCTGCCGGGCCCTAGGCCTGCTGCCCCTCCAGGGCCCGTTCCTTCCTCTGGCCTCACTTCACAGCAGGCCAGCTCCCCTCACACGGACACATTCTTTTCTTGGATTCTACCTCTGTCAGGTGACGGGACAGGACAGTCTGGTCTGCTTCATATTATTTATTTATAATTTATCTTAATTCATGTATTTATTCGACTGCCCCAGGTCTTAGTTGCTACACGAGGGATATTTAGTTGCAACACGTGGGATCTAGTTCCCTGACCAGGAGTCGAACCTGGACCCCCTGCATTGGAAGCATGGAGTCTTAACTACTGGACCACAGGGAAGTCCCTGGTCTGTCTTGTATAGATCTTTATAATTTAACCTACAGAGGACAGTGTAGTCTCTGAAGTGCTGGATGGGAATGGGGGAGAGTACCACAGCTTCCCCAGTGCCAGCTGGCATTTGATTAGATGCGGTTCATATTTACTCAGTTCAGTTCAGTTCAGTTGCTCAGTCATGTCCGACTCTTTGAGACCCCATGGACTGCAGCATGCCAGGCCTCCCTGTCCATCACCAACCCCCAGAGTTTACTCACACTCATGTCCATTGAGTCGGTGATGCCATCCAACCATCTCATCCTCTGTCTTCCCCTTCTCCTCCCGCCTTCAATCTTTCCAAGCATCAGGGACTTTTCAAATGAGTCAGTTCTTCGCATCAGGTGGGCAAAGAATTGGAGTTTCAGCTTCAACATCAGTCCTTCCAAGGACTGATTTCCTTTAGGATGAACTGGTTTGATCTTCTTGCAGTCCAAAGGACTCTCAAGAGTCTTCTCCAACACCATCATATATATATATTATTATTATTTATTATTATTATCATATATACTATTATTTGGTTTTTAACTCCTCTCTTTTTGTATATTTGAAAACTTTTTTTTTTAGATCATTGTAGATTCACATAATAATAGAAAAAAATCTTGTATACCTTTTACCCAGTTCCATCCACTGCTAACATCATACAAAACTACAGTATAACAACCACCAGGGTATTAGCATGGATGCATTCCAGAGCCAGAAGATTTCTATAACCACCGGATCCCTTTTACAGTCACACCCCATTTACTCCTTAAACCCTGGCAACCACTAATCTATTCATTTCCAGAGTGTTGTCGTTTCGAGAATGTTATGTAAATGGAGTCACATAGTATGTAACCACTAAGGTCTGGCTTTTTCATACAACGTATTTCACTGGAGGTTCATCCAGGTGCGTGTGTGGTCAATAGCTCATGGTGTGGCTGGACCATAGTTTGTTTAACATTCTCCTGTGGCAGAATGTCTGTTGTTCCCAGGTTTTGGTTTTTACAGATAACACTGCTGTGAACATTCATACGCAGATTTTTGTGTGACAGTAAGTTTCCATTTCTCTAGGATAAATGCCTAAGAGCATACTTGTGGGTCGTATGTAGTTGCATGTTTAGCTTTATAAGAAACTGCCAAACTGTGTTCCAGAGTGTCTGTACCAGTTTTGTGTTCCCACTAGGAATAGATCTACTTTCTCTGCATTTGATGTTGTTACTATTTTTTAACTTAGCCATTCTGATAGGTATGGAGTGACTTATTGTGGTTTTTAATTTACATTTTCCTAATGGTGAATGATGTTGAGCATTTTCTTGTGCTTATTTGTCATCCACATGTCCTCTTTAGTGAAATGTCTCTTCATATATTTGCCCATATTCTAATTGGATTGTTTGGGGGACTTACTGTTGAGTTTTGAGAGTTCTTTATATATTTTATATATTTAGATACTAGTCCTTTTTCAGATATGTGGTTTCCAAATATTTTCTCCTGTCTATAGCTTTTCTTTTTGTCCTCTCAACAGGGTCTTTCAGAGAACAAAAGCTTTTAAAATTTCAATAAAACTCCCATTTATCAAATTTTCCCTTTGTACTTCAAGTATAAGAACTCTTTGCTTTGCCATAGATCCAAAAGATTTTCTCCTATTTTTTTTTCTGATAATTTGATAGTTTTACATGTAAGTCCATTGTCCATTTGGAGTTATTTTTTTATATTATAAGGTGTGAGAATTAGTGTGTTTCATTTTTTTTCCTGTGCATATCCAGTTGCTCTAGCACTCCTTATTGAAAAGACTGTCCTTCCTCTGTTGAGTTACTTTTGCATCTTTGTCAAAAATCAGTTGGGCATATTTGTGTAAGTCTGTTTTGAAGTTCTCTGTTCTGTCCAGTTGATCTGTATGTCTGTCTCTCTGCCAATATCAGGATTATCAATCATAATTCTAGTACATGCATAATGTCAACTGGAAAAAAAATTCACAGCCTAAACGTTAAGAGTTATGTTTTACTTGGGACCTTATTGAGGACTATAGCCTGGGAGACAGCGTCTCAGACAGCTCTGAAGAATTGTTCCAAAGAGATAAGAGAGGAGCCAGCTATAATAGAAGTTTTAACAGACATCTCAAGTTAATGATTTTAGTATTTTTCTGTGTCTGGGAAGATGCAAGTGTCTGGACTCATTGAAATTACTCTTGTGATAGTTATCTTAACTGTGTAGAACCAGCTGCACTGGCTGATAGCTCTATGAGCACTGATGGCTTCCCCGGTGACTCAGTAGTCAATAATCCACCTGCAATGCAGGAGATGTGGCTGGAGCCATGGGCTCAATCCCTGGGTCAGAAGATCCCCTGGAGAAGGAAATGGCAACCCATTCCAGTATTCTTGCCTGGGAAATCCCGTGGACAAAGGAGCCTGGTGGGCTACAGTCCATGGGCTCACAGGAGTTGAATCCAACTTAGTAACTAGGTACACACACATCCTTCATTAACTGAAATGGCAGGCAGTGTTCTTTGTCAACAATAATGTCCTGAAATCTAGTAGACTGATTCCTCTCCCTTATTCTTCTTTTTCAAAATTATCTTAGCTATTTGACTTCCTTTGTCCTTCCATATAAATTTTAGAATAGTCTTGGGTCCATCTACAGAAAAATCCTGCTGGGACTTTTATAGAAACTGCATGAAACTTATATATCAACTTGGAGAGAACTGACATTTTAACTATGTAGGGTTTCTTTTTTTAATATGTATTTATTTATTTGGCTGTGTCAGTTCTTAGCTGCAGCAGATGGGATCTTTGTTGCATCATGCATAGCATGTCTCTAGCTGTGGCGTGCAGGTCCCAGAGCGCTTGGGCTCTGTAGTTGCCAGGCATGGGCTTAGTTGCTCCTCCACGTGTGGGATCTTAGTTCCCAAACCAGGGATCAAACTTGCATCCCCTGCATTGCAAGGCAGATTCTTAATCACTGGACCACCAGGGAAGTTCTATGTTGGGTTTCTAATTCATGAAAAAATTTGTCTTTCCATTTATTTAAACCTTTTTTATTTCTTTCATTAGTGTTTCATAGTTCTCAGCATACAAGTCCTATACGCATTTGGTTAGATTTATACCCAAGTATTTCTAACCAGGTGGTTCAAGTGGTAAAGAATCTGCCTACAATACAGGAGGCACAGGGGTTGCAGATTCGATCCCTGGGTTAGGAAGATCCCCTGGAGAAGGAAATGGCAACCCACTCAAGTATCCTTGCCAGGAAAATCCCATGGACAGAGAAGCCTGGCAGACTACGGTCAATGGAGTCACAAAGAGTTGGACATGACTGAGCATACATCCACACACTTCTTTTTATGAAGATACTATCATTGTCTAGTTTTGGTACCAGGGTAATGCTAGCTTCATAAAATGAATTAGGAAATATTTCTTCCTCTTCTGTTTTCTGGAGAACATTGTGTAGAATAAATGCTCAGTTCAGTTCATTCACTCAATCCTGACTGACTCTGCAATGCCATGGACTGTAGCACGCCAGGCTTCCCTGTCCATCACCAACTCCCGGAGCTTGCTCAAACTCATGTCCATCCAGTCAGTGATGCCATCCAACCATCTCATCCTCTGTCATCCTCTTCTCCTCCTGCCCTCATTCTTTCCCAGCATCAGGGTCTTTTTCAAGGAGTCAGTTCTTTGCATTAGGTGGCCAAGGCATTGGAGTTTCAGCTTCAGCATGAGTCCTTC